TTCAGTGTTGATTTTAAAACCAATTAACTAATAAGCGACAGAGAAATACGTGACTCACGAGAATGCGCACACTACTTCAGACAACCTTCAGCAGATATGCAGGCAATTAACTCCGCAGCATCGGCTGAGAACTGGGAAATTGACTCAAAGGCTTCAGTACAAGAGGCATGGACTCTATTCAGGCAGTTATACAATCGGGTAACTCAACCATATATACCCTGGACTGTCCCAAAGAAAAAGAAGCACGGACATCCCTGGTTAGGGCGGGATATTCGACGCTTACTAAGACAAAAGAAGAAATCCTGGGATGTTGCCATCCGCCTTGGCACAGCAGGTACGATGGAACACTACAGATCGATAAGAAACGTGTGTATAACTAAAATTTGGGAAGCGCAAAGAAAATATGAAATGCAGCTGGCAGAATCTGCACTCAAGCAGCCCAAGAGGATATTCTCGTACATAAACTACAGAACAAGGACTCATCACTGGATTCCCAACCTAATTAAAGTAGGAAGTGAATCTGAAATGATAGAGGAAGATCAGGAAAAAGCTGAGGTTATAGCTGACTACTTTGGGGCAGTTTTCACTCAGGAACCTCCTCTAGAGGAAGAACCAGACCCAATTACAGAGTCAACAAACCAGCTGCTCACCGTGGACTTCGACCAAAACGATGTGCTTAAGGCTCTTAGCACCCTAAACATGGAGAAGTCAACAGGACCAGATGAACTACACCCTAAAATTTTGAGACATATTGCCGAATATATCGCAGCCCCACTGACTGTGATATTCAAAATGTCACTTGACCAAGGTGTGTTACCTATGGACTGGAAGGACGCAATCGTCACTCCCATACATAAAACTGGTCTACGACAAGTTCCATCAAATTACAGACCCGTAAGCCTCACCAGTGTTGTAATTAAAATACTGGAAAGGATAATCAAACGGACCATAACAGCATTTATGGAAACCAATAACTTGCTGAACATGGCACAACATGGTTTTAGAAAGGGTCTATCCTGTACAACGAACCTCCTTATAGCTAGGGAGCTGTGGATTAATGCGCTAGACAACGGAAACTCAGTGGATGTTGTCTACATAGACTTCAGTAAGGCTTTTGACAAGGTGCCAACTAATAGACTGCTATTGAAGTTGGCAAACCTTGGTATTGCCGGACCTCTTTTAAAATGGATTAAGAATTTCCTAGTAGGTCGTAGGCAAAAAGTAAGAATAAATTCCAAGTGCTCCATCTGGAGACCAGTACTTAGTGGAGTACCCCAAGGTTCCGTCCTAGGTCCTTTACTTTTTAGAATGTACGTTAATGATCTTACAAGTATAGTACAGTCTCCAATGTTATTATACGCTGACGATGTAAAAATTTGGCGAGTAATAACTGGAGACACAGACGCATTTACTCTTCAGGCGGACTTAAATAATATGATAAACTGGTCTAAAGAGTGGCTAATGCCTATCAACTCGGAAGTGTGTCTACATGCACTTGGGGGATTCAAAGGTTAATACGTACAACATAGGGGATGTGTCATTACCCGTAGTCCGGTCTCATAAGGACCTAGGGGTGACAGTGAGCAATGATCTTAAGACGACGGCCCATTGCCGGGAGGTCACAGTTAAGGGGTTTCGAACCCTCTGGGCTTTAAAAAGGACATTCACTAAGCTTGATACTACCATGTTCACCACATTATACACATCCTTAGTGAGAACTAAGTTAGAGAACTGTGTTTAGGCTGCAAGCCCCTGTTTAAAAGGTGACTCAGACATACTAGGAAAGGTACAGAGGGCAGCTACGCGTGCAATTCCGGAACTCCGGGGTTTATCATATAAAGAGCGGCTTGAAAAACTGAACCTCTTTACTCTGTCCTATCGCAGACTAAGGGGAGATCTAATATTGATGTACAGAATACTGAGAAATGATTTCGGACCTAACTTATTCTCTCTTTCTTCCCACTAGATCGGGACACCTCAGAGGACATAGCAGGCGAGTAGAAAAGCCAAGAACGAACAAAATACCCCTGGCATACAGGTTTTCACACCGAGTCATCAATACTTGGAACCTGCTGCCTGGAGCAGTGGTATCCGCACCTTCAATTGACTCTTTCAAGAGAAGACTGGACACTCACAGAAGCATACTAGAAAAGGAATAACATAGGCCGTAGGCCTTCTGTCCTTACTACACAAATCTGAATCTGAATCTGACAGTAAAATAAACTCGAAAAGATTGTAATTTACGAGACATTATCGCTCGTTATTAAAACAAAAGAACCTGATGCCAGAGTGGATTTGAGGACCAACAAAATAAAATTGTACGCCAGGATATTGGAACACGGACTTTAAATCTTGAATTGTGTTCAGCCAAAACACGTAACCTCTGTTCAATAACGTCTGATGAATAAAAGATGTTTACAACAACAGTACCAGTTGAGAGTGGCTGAGTAGATGTTTTAAGTACCATAGCTTTCAGTGTTGATTTTAAAACCAATTAACTAATAAGCGACAGAGAAATACGTGACTCACGAGAATGCGCACACTACTTCAGACAACCTTCAGCAGATATGCAGGCAATTAACTCCGCAGCATCGGCTGAGAACTGGGAAATTGACTCAAAGGCTTCAGTACAAGAGGCATGGACTCTATTCAGGCAGTTATACAATCGGGTAACTCAACCATATATACCCTGGACTGTCCCAAAGAAAAAGAAGCACGGACATCCCTGGTTAGGGCGGGATATTCGACGCTTACTAAGACAAAAGAAGAAATCCTGGGATGTTGCCATCCGCCTTGGCACAGCAGGTACGATGGAACACTACAGATCGATAAGAAACGTGTGTATAACTAAAATTTGGGAAGCGCAAAGAAAATATGAAATGCAGCTGGCAGAATCTGCACTCAAGCAGCCCAAGAGGATATTCTCGTACATAAACTACAGAACAAGGACTCATCACTGGATTCCCAACCTAATTAAAGTAGGAAGTGAATCTGAAATGATAGAGGAAGATCAGGAAAAAGCTGAGGTTATAGCTGACTACTTTGGGGCAGTTTTCACTCAGGAACCTCCTCTAGAGGAAGAACCAGACCCAATTACAGAGTCAACAAACCAGCTGCTCACCGTGGACTTCGACCAAAACGATGTGCTTAAGGCTCTTAGCACCCTAAACATGGAGAAGTCAACAGGACCAGATGAACTACACCCTAAAATTTTGAGACATATTGCCGAATATATCGCAGCCCCACTGACTGTGATATTCAAAATGTCACTTGACCAAGGTGTGTTACCTATGGACTGGAAGGACGCAATCGTCACTCCCATACATAAAACTGGTCTACGACAAGTTCCATCAAATTACAGACCCGTAAGCCTCACCAGTGTTGTAATTAAAATACTGGAAAGGATAATCAAACGGACCATAACAGCATTTATGGAAACCAATAACTTGCTGAACATGGCACAACATGGTTTTAGAAAGGGTCTATCCTGTACAACGAACCTCCTTATAGCTAGGGAGCTGTGGATTAATGCGCTAGACAACGGAAACTCAGTGGATGTTGTCTACATAGACTTCAGTAAGGCTTTTGACAAGGTGCCAACTAATAGACTGCTATTGAAGTTGGCAAACCTTGGTATTGCCGGACCTCTTTTAAAATGGATTAAGAATTTCCTAGTAGGTCGTAGGCAAAAAGTAAGAATAAATTCCAAGTGCTCCATCTGGAGACCAGTACTTAGTGGAGTACCCCAAGGTTCCGTCCTAGGTCCTTTACTTTTTAGAATGTACGTTAATGATCTTACAAGTATAGTACAGTCTCCAATGTTATTATACGCTGACGATGTAAAAATTTGGCGAGTAATAACTGGAGACACAGACGCATTTACTCTTCAGGCGGACTTAAATAATATGATAAACTGGTCTAAAGAGTGGCTAATGCCTATCAACTCGGAAGTGTGTCTACATGCACTTGGGGGATTCAAAGGTTAATACGTACAACATAGGGGATGTGTCATTACCCGTAGTCCGGTCTCATAAGGACCTAGGGGTGACAGTGAGCAATGATCTTAAGACGACGGCCCATTGCCGGGAGGTCACAGTTAAGGGGTTTCGAACCCTCTGGGCTTTAAAAAGGACATTCACTAAGCTTGATACTACCATGTTCACCACATTATACACATCCTTAGTGAGAACTAAGTTAGAGAACTGTGTTTAGGCTGCAAGCCCCTGTTTAAAAGGTGACTCAGACATACTAGGAAAGGTACAGAGGGCAGCTACGCGTGCAATTCCGGAACTCCGGGGTTTATCATATAAAGAGCGGCTTGAAAAACTGAACCTCTTTACTCTGTCCTATCGCAGACTAAGGGGAGATCTAATATTGATGTACAGAATACTGAGAAATGATTTCGGACCTAACTTATTCTCTCTTTCTTCCCACTAGATCGGGACACCTCAGAGGACATAGCAGGCGAGTAGAAAAGCCAAGAACGAACAAAATACCCCTGGCATACAGGTTTTCACACCGAGTCATCAATACTTGGAACCTGCTGCCTGGAGCAGTGGTATCCGCACCTTCAATTGACTCTTTCAAGAGAAGACTGGACACTCACAGAAGCATACTAGAAAAGGAATAACATAGGCCGTAGGCCTTCTGTCCTTACTACACAAATCTGAATCTGAATCTGACAGTAAAATAAACTCGAAAAGATTGTAATTTACGAGACATTATCGCTCGTTATTAAAACAAAAGAACCTGATGCCAGAGTGGATTTGAGGACCAACAAAATAAAATTGTACGCCAGGATATTGGAACACGGACTTTAAATCTTGAATTGTGTTCAGCCAAAACACGTAACCTCTGTTCAATAACGTCTGATGAATAAAAGATGTTTACAACAACAGTACCAGTTGAGAGTGGCTGAGTAGATGTTTTAAGTACCATAGCTTTCAGTGTTGATTTTAAAACCAATTAACTAATAAGCGACAGAGAAATACGTGACTCACGAGAATGCGCACACTACTTCAGACAACCTTCAGCAGATATGCAGGCAATTAACTCCGCAGCATCGGCTGAGAACTGGGAAATTGACTCAAAGGCTTCAGTACAAGAGGCATGGACTCTATTCAGGCAGTTATACAATCGGGTAACTCAACCATATATACCCTGGACTGTCCCAAAGAAAAAGAAGCACGGACATCCCTGGTTAGGGCGGGATATTCGACGCTTACTAAGACAAAAGAAGAAATCCTGGGATGTTGCCATCCGCCTTGGCACAGCAGGTACGATGGAACACTACAGATCGATAAGAAACGTGTGTATAACTAAAATTTGGGAAGCGCAAAGAAAATATGAAATGCAGCTGGCAGAATCTGCACTCAAGCAGCCCAAGAGGATATTCTCGTACATAAACTACAGAACAAGGACTCATCACTGGATTCCCAACCTAATTAAAGTAGGAAGTGAATCTGAAATGATAGAGGAAGATCAGGAAAAAGCTGAGGTTATAGCTGACTACTTTGGGGCAGTTTTCACTCAGGAACCTCCTCTAGAGGAAGAACCAGACCCAATTACAGAGTCAACAAACCAGCTGCTCACCGTGGACTTCGACCAAAACGATGTGCTTAAGGCTCTTAGCACCCTAAACATGGAGAAGTCAACAGGACCAGATGAACTACACCCTAAAATTTTGAGACATATTGCCGAATATATCGCAGCCCCACTGACTGTGATATTCAAAATGTCACTTGACCAAGGTGTGTTACCTATGGACTGGAAGGACGCAATCGTCACTCCCATACATAAAACTGGTCTACGACAAGTTCCATCAAATTACAGACCCGTAAGCCTCACCAGTGTTGTAATTAAAATACTGGAAAGGATAATCAAACGGACCATAACAGCATTTATGGAAACCAATAACTTGCTGAACATGGCACAACATGGTTTTAGAAAGGGTCTATCCTGTACAACGAACCTCCTTATAGCTAGGGAGCTGTGGATTAATGCGCTAGACAACGGAAACTCAGTGGATGTTGTCTACATAGACTTCAGTAAGGCTTTTGACAAGGTGCCAACTAATAGACTGCTATTGAAGTTGGCAAACCTTGGTATTGCCGGACCTCTTTTAAAATGGATTAAGAATTTCCTAGTAGGTCGTAGGCAAAAAGTAAGAATAAATTCCAAGTGCTCCATCTGGAGACCAGTACTTAGTGGAGTACCCCAAGGTTCCGTCCTAGGTCCTTTACTTTTTAGAATGTACGTTAATGATCTTACAAGTATAGTACAGTCTCCAATGTTATTATACGCTGACGATGTAAAAATTTGGCGAGTAATAACTGGAGACACAGACGCATTTACTCTTCAGGCGGACTTAAATAATATGATAAACTGGTCTAAAGAGTGGCTAATGCCTATCAACTCGGAAGTGTGTCTACATGCACTTGGGGGATTCAAAGGTTAATACGTACAACATAGGGGATGTGTCATTACCCGTAGTCCGGTCTCATAAGGACCTAGGGGTGACAGTGAGCAATGATCTTAAGACGACGGCCCATTGCCGGGAGGTCACAGTTAAGGGGTTTCGAACCCTCTGGGCTTTAAAAAGGACATTCACTAAGCTTGATACTACCATGTTCACCACATTATACACATCCTTAGTGAGAACTAAGTTAGAGAACTGTGTTTAGGCTGCAAGCCCCTGTTTAAAAGGTGACTCAGACATACTAGGAAAGGTACAGAGGGCAGCTACGCGTGCAATTCCGGAACTCCGGGGTTTATCATATAAAGAGCGGCTTGAAAAACTGAACCTCTTTACTCTGTCCTATCGCAGACTAAGGGGAGATCTAATATTGATGTACAGAATACTGAGAAATGATTTCGGACCTAACTTATTCTCTCTTTCTTCCCACTAGATCGGGACACCTCAGAGGACATAGCAGGCGAGTAGAAAAGCCAAGAACGAACAAAATACCCCTGGCATACAGGTTTTCACACCGAGTCATCAATACTTGGAACCTGCTGCCTGGAGCAGTGGTATCCGCACCTTCAATTGACTCTTTCAAGAGAAGACTGGACACTCACAGAAGCATACTAGAAAAGGAATAACATAGGCCGTAGGCCTTCTGTCCTTACTACACAAATCTGAATCTGAATCTGACAGTAAAATAAACTCGAAAAGATTGTAATTTACGAGACATTATCGCTCGTTATTAAAACAAAAGAACCTGATGCCAGAGTGGATTTGAGGACCAACAAAATAAAATTGTACGCCAGGATATTGGAACACGGACTTTAAATCTTGAATTGTGTTCAGCCAAAACACGTAACCTCTGTTCAATAACGTCTGATGAATAAAAGATGTTTACAACAACAGTACCAGTTGAGAGTGGCTGAGTAGATGTTTTAAGTACCATAGCTTTCAGTGTTGATTTTAAAACCAATTAACTAATAAGCGACAGAGAAATACGTGACTCACGAGAATGCGCACACTACTTCAGACAACCTTCAGCGTTTTAGTTAGTGCGCGTTTCTAGAGTCTACAATTTGAATAGACATTATCGATACGAACAAATTCTGTTTGCTTGCACGAACGTAGATTAGTTATAGCAATAGTCCGAATTCTTATATAATCTCGTGAAAAATTGGACTAACTGTTGTTGATTTTCTTGATTTAGATGTTTTGAAACCCCCCTGGTAAAACTCGCAACTTTCCGGAAAAATCCTTACTGAATTTCAGCGATTCGAACATCAGATTCTGTTTTAGGTAGTAATGACAGAAGGCCTATGGCCTGTTTTATTCCCTTTCTAGTATGCTTCTGTGGGTGCTTAGTTTTTTCTTGAATGTGTCAATTGATGGTGCAGACATGTCCCAAGAATTGATAACTCGGTGTTGAAACCTGTATGTCGAGGGTATTTTGTTCGTTATCGACTTTCCTAGTCGTCGGCTATGTCCTTTGAGATGTTTTTATCTGATGGGAAGAAAAGGAGAGGATATGTTAGGTCCGAAATCATTTCTTAGTATTCTTTACATTAAAATCAGATCACTTCTCAATCTGCGATTGGACGGCGTAAGGAGGTCAAGCTTTCTGAGACGCTCTTTGTATGGAAAACCTCGGATTTCTGCAACTGAACAGGTAGCTGCCCTCTGTATGTTACCTTCTAAACTGAGGCTTGCAGCCTGAACGCAATATTCAAGCTTAGTTCTCACCAAGGTTCTGCATACTGTAGTGAACATGGTAGTATTTAACTTGATGAATGTCCGTCTTAAATCTCAGAGGGTTCTAAACCCCTTATCTGCGAGCCCTCGGGAAATGGGCAGTGGTCTTAAGAGCATGACTCATTGTCACCACAAGATCCTTGTAAGACCAGACTACGGGTAAAGGCATTTTCCCCATACTGTACCTATTTATTTCTGTAAATCATCAGCGTAGATGATCTACGTCGAATGATTGAAGGCCTAATTGAGTTAGACGGGAATGGTGTGACGAACCAGATAACGTCACAGTCACACCTCGCCGTCATAACATTACGTGGATTGCCCCATCGAAGTGTTGAGTCGGCTTCCGGGGAACTTCAACGGAGCCTCCAGAGGCCCAGAGGGAGCTGAAGGGTCCTAGCCAATCAGAGTATGATGGAACATTCGAGAATTCCAACGTGGTGTGCTACTATTGATCGGTAGCATACTATGTCGTTAACGGATTGGCTGAAATATGATGTTGATTTAACAGACGCCAACATCTATAAATACCTATGATTTTCTGTACAAAAATGAACCTTGGGATAAAGTATTTTTCTCTCATATTTGTGTCTTTTCTCTGGTGTTCAAGTCGCTGTGTAGTTCTAGACTGCGGATTACCGGAATATTATTATTATTATTATTCACAAACATCTTATGGGTACATAAGTGTTGTGAAGAAACCACTTCGGGTTTCTTCAAAAAATGCAATAATACACAATTTTCAATAATGTCAGCATTATACTTGCCATATTAAAAAAAAATTTAGAGCAATAATAGTAGAATATTAATAATAATAAATCGGGTCTGTACAATTGAGAATATTGAATTGAGTTTAAAGAAGGAAATGGAGAAAATAAGGAGACGTGAAATACGCAAACAGTCTAATAGGCGTGTTTATGAACACAGAGCAAGAATAAACGACTATGTGTGTATCGTATATAGCGTTTCATCGACAAGAAGTATTGAGGTATTATCGATGCTATGAAGAGTGTACAACACAAAGGTCGTTATTACACAAAGATATTGGTTAAGGTGGATACAAGCGAAAGTAAGACTACCGCCTCATGGGCCAGCCCATAGCGTACCACTAACTGATGCGCGTTGGTCTTCCTTGACCCTTAGAGGGACCGACGATCTGTTCGATATTCAGTGACTCAACTGCTGGATGGTTTGGCTAGGGCTAAGTGACATTTCACTCGCCCTACACCTCTGTATACTCAAAGTGCACGTAAACACACTTGCTGCATTGATAGGCACCGGTCACTCCTCAGACCAGTTAATCACAATATTTAAGTCTACCTGAATTGATCATGCGTCTACGTCTCCCGTTATTTCTCGTTAGATTTTTACATCGTCAGCGTATGATAATATAAGGGACTCTACTGTACTTGGAAAATGGTTTACATATAGTATACAAAGTAACGGATCTAGGACAGAACCTTTAAGCACTCCAATAAGTATTGGTTTCCAGGTGGAGCACATAGAATTTACTCTTACTTCCTGTCTACGACCTACTAGGAACTCCTTAAGCCATTTTAGAAGTCCAAGATTTTCTAGCTTGAAAAGCAGTCTATTTGTTGGCACTTTGTCAAAAACTTTGCTAAAGTCTATATAGACAACATTCACAGATTTCCCGTTGTCTAGAGCCTATATCCACCGCTCTTTTGTTATAAAGAGGTTTATTCTGCAAGATAAACTTTTTCTGAAACCATGTTGTTCGTTATTCAACAAATTGTTGGTTTCCACAAATGTCATTATAGAATTTTTGACTGGTGAGGCTGATAGGT